GACGATTATTTGGCACTGCACTATTCGCATGTAGAACCGCCAGGCATGGCACAACAAAATTCGACCCCTTTTTCCTTACGTATAGTCATGAAGCAACATTACCTGTAGAATTGGTAGTAGGAACTTACCCTGTGGACTTGGATGAGGATGAGCGATATGAGTTGTTGGTTCTGGCACGGACAATGAAGTTGATAGACAAGCTATTTGAGGCGCGAATTCGAGCTCGAGAGAATATACACAAATCGCAGAAAAGGCAAAAACAGTACTATGATCAACAGCACCCACTACAAAGTTTTGAAATCAGAGATAAGGTCTTGAGGTACCGTGCTAAATTGGGGCAGCAATTAGGTGGTAAGCTGAAGTAAAAGTGGACAGGACCCTATTAGATACATGATGTAATAGGAAATGGAATATATAAACTACGAACAATGAGCCCTTGTAGAAAGGTGACGAAAGAGCATATTCACGGAAGTCAGTTAAAGAAATACATAGAGTGAAATGATGGAAATAATGCAAGAACTAAGTAATCAAAAAAAAAATCTATAAAAAAAAAAAAAAAACTATAAAAACAAAAAAAAAAACTCTCTCTCTAAGTAACCACGACAAAAAAATATAAATAGAGCAACGCCTAGAAACATTGAGAAGAATGATCCAGCAACTTGTTGATTAAATGAACCCAGAAGAAGAATTGGAGATAAAAGGGACATGAGTAACGTTATGCAACCCAGACCAAAAAATAGAAGAAATATTTGAAGGACCATGAAGAAGAGCAAAGCCTAGCAAATCTACGACGATATGCACCTGTACCTTCAGGACCTGGACCGCCCTGTGGGGTTTGACCCCATGTTATCTGTTGATGTTGCCGGTGCAACCTGGAATGAGAAACTAGTGCAGGCATGCGATGCCGTTGAAAACTTGAACCCTCGGGCCCAGTCTAATGCCCATGTTCTGAAAACGTACTATAAAGTTGGTAGCCTATTGTTTGAGTCTGGTTGAGGCGACAAAGCAAGGAAAAAGTTGGCTCAGCAACTCCCAGGTTCGAAGGGAAGTCTCGTCTAGAAGATTGCTAAACGTACGTATCTGTTGTTCAGTACCTGTGGTGAATATAGTATGTATATGGTTTAACATATCTCAATTTCGGTGCTGAAGTGAATGTTGGACTCTGACTTTACAGAATTGTTAGCGGAAGCTAGGAGGTTAAGGGAGGTTGATACTAGGAGGATGTTGGCGGGTTCGACAGAGCTCACCCTTTAGAGGAGGAATATGTTATGGAAAATTTCTTCGAAATTTTCCTTACTGTATTTTTTTTTGTATAGTTCGTCTTTTATATATGTAAAAGCAGTAGATTATGTGAACGCGATAGAATTAGCACGTGTATGGGTTCGAAACCTGAAGTTAGGGTTTGAAACTCTGGGTCCGGGTGTAGAACCCCAGATCTGGGTCAGAAACCCCAGATCTGGGTTCGAAACTCCAGATCCGGGTTTGGAACCCTTAATCATCAAAAATGTATAAATAGGATGCTTGCTTAATAAATAAAGTAACTCTTTCTTACTCTGCTCAAGTAATAATTACAGTGGATACGTGACGTAGTTCTTTCTTATTTCTTGTACCCAATAATAAATATTACGTACTGATCTTGTTTATTAAGTAACACATAGTAACCAACCAGAACCTAAACGTAACCTGTGATAACCTATCTTGGACCTAAACGTAACCTGCGGTAATCTATCTTGGACCTAAACGTAACCTGCGTAACCTATCTTGGACCTAAACATAACTCGTGATGACCTAACTTGGACCAATACATAACCTATAACAACCTGACTTGGACCCTAAGTTATCTAAGCATAACCCGTGACGACCTCTTCCGAATATAGTCCTATTAATCGATAATTATTACTACCTACGAATCCAGGTTGTGCTACTTACCATCAAGATTTATGCTTGCAGTGCTGGACTAAATTGGCGTGGATACATAAAAGCTCTCCCTAGCTGTAACAATACACAGAATATTATGAAAATTACATCTTATACTCTAATAATTATAATAACGTACGTGAAAATGATTTTGTTGAACAAGATCACCCTCAAGTATTAAAAAAAAATTGTTCGAAAGCGAACTACACCGAAAATTACCAGAATTGTTTTAGTTATACCAGGAATTGGTGAAATATTTTATCTTAGAACAATTTTAATGCATCGCACTGCTTGAACATATGAAAATCTTAAAATAGTCAATAGAAAATCTTATAATATTTATCAAGAAGCTGCATGTGAAATGAGATTATTCTTAAATAATAATGAAAATATCCTCACTATGAACGAAGCCATAAATAATTATTATACACCTGCACAATTATGATTTCTTTTCATGCAATTACTACTAGATGGTGCCCAGCTCTTGAACTATGGCAATGATATAAAGAAAATTTCTCTGCTGATCAAGAACAATTACATCAAAATCATACTTTAGCAATTAATGGAACTCTTCAAGAAATAGCTTCAATGCTTACAGAAAGTGGACGATGTATGTGTGACTTTGAACTCCTGAAACCTAAAACATAAACTCAAGAAATAATTGCAGAATGTCAACGTTACTCTAATTATATTAAATATAACCAACTTGCAAAAAAATTATACTCTAAACTAACACCTGATCAAATCACCTTTTACAAACTATAAAATACGTACTTGGAAAAAAAAAGACCAAATTTAACAAACAAATTTATTAAATTTCTAGATGGAAAGGCTGGTCGAGGAAAAACATTTTTAATTAATACTATTAGTTGTGCCATCCGAGCTGAAAAAGAAATTATTTTATTATGTGCTACAACTGCTTTAGCAGCACTACTCTATGAAGGTGGACATACAGCCCATTCATTATTTCGCATACCCATGGAAGACAATAATATTAATATTCAATCAACAATTAAATTTTAAAGTAACTGCGCAGATTTAATCTGTACAGCAAAACTGATAATATGGGATGAACTTCCTATGGCAAATAAAGCAGTGTTAGAAAGTGTTGATTTACTTCTACACCAACTTTGTGAAAAAGATGAACCATTCAGAGGAAAACCTTTTATAGGTGTTGGTGACTTTCGTCAAGTAGCCCCAGTTGTCAAAGATGCAGGAAAAAGTGCTACAATCGACGCATCAATTAAAACTTCATACCTTTGAAAATACTTTGATAAATATGTTCTAAACCAACCAATACGCAATGCAAAGGATCCAGAATTTGCAAAATTTATTGATAATATTGGAGAAGACTATGAAAACCATGAAGTTTCACTAGATATTTTTAAAACTACCCAAAACATCAAAGAAGCTATATCATTTCTATATCCAGATAACATAATTTCAAATAATAATACTTTACAAAAACGAGCCTTCCTTAGCCCTCCTATATATTAGTTGATGACTTCAACTATTAAATTCTTAATAGATTACCTAAAACAACCCGCACATACTTCAGTTATAACATTGTTAAAGAAAACGACGAAATAATAAATGACCACCCTACAGCTACGCCTGATTATTTAGTTCAACTAACTCATCCAGGAATACCTAATCATGAAATTCAACTAAAAACTGGTGCAATATGCTCCATAATGCGAAATATATCCATCCATAAAGGATTAGTTAAAAATGCATGTGTCATAATAAAAAAACCTAGGACAGTGCTTAATTGAAGTAGCAGTACTTAAAATAACAGTACAGATGAAATATTAGAAACTCACCTTATACCTAAAATAAATTTTTACTTTCAACCAGATTACTGTTCATGGACAGTACATTGAAACAATTCCCGTTACGCCTAGCCTACTCAACAACATTCAACAGTTGCCAAGGCCTTACATTAGATCACATCGTCTTAGATTTAAGAACCCACGTATTTGCGCATGGACAACTTTACACAGCCATATCCAGAGTAAAAAATAGAAATCATACCTTAATACTATTACCGGAAAGCAACGCCCAACCCAAAACAATTAATATAGTCTACAAAGAACTGATCCAATAAAACTAAGATAGGCACAAAAAACTAATCAAATAAAACCAACATATTAGATACCTTCATTAAAACTCATAATTAACATTGTAAAAGCTTATTTAAATCCAATAAGTAAATTACTAAATTTCATCATTTACTCATTTTTAACATATTACAATTAATACTAACACTATAAATAAATTACCCTCAAATCCTAAAAAAAATTAAACCTAATCGCAACAAGATTGTCACAACCAAGAACAACAATCAAAAATTTTAACAAGAATTACTCAAAATTTCTTACTAATAAAATCATAACAACACAACAAATAAAAATCATCTCAGTACTAACTTTACCATCAAGCAAACTATTTCTTAAAAAATTTCTATTCTAAAAACAAAAAAGTTAAAAATTTAATTCCAACTAAAAAATAATAACCAATCATGTAATGCAAACAAAACTTTTGCAAATCCATAACTATTAACCAATCAAAATCAAAAATCTACCAAGATAATTTTATTATACAGCAACTATTAACTAAAAGGGCGCCTACAGCGCCCTACCCTCACTTGTTATTCAATAAAAACCAAGGTCAGGCCTCACTCTTAAAAAAAAAATAAAGTAACATTACAAATCTACCGAAAGCAAAAGCTGATAAATCACAAATATTCGAATATCTCACGAACTATTGAAGGATAATTTTAGGCTTAAGGAGTTCTATAACTACCCTAATTTACCTAAGCGTAAATTTTCTGCAAAACTCGCGTTAGAATACTCGCTACAGCCATGGCTGATCCGCAGTAACTAAGCTCAACTCAAATCTCGCGAACTATATCATTCAAATGGTAATAATTTAGGTTTAAAGGAGTTTTATAAATTAGCCTAATTAAATTTTTCACAAATGCTTGTTTGTGGAATATTTTCTACGGACCAGCAGCAGCAGCTGATCCGCAGTAATTCAAGTCAAATAACCTGGCTCCGAATATCTCACGAACTATCGCACAAATAGTGATACTTTCAGGCTTAGGGGAGTTCAAGGAACCAGCCTAATCCACCTAAGCATAAATTCTTCGCAAAGAATGCTTGTTTGTGGAATATTGGCTGCGGCTAAGCCGGTTTGCTGCACTATATGAATTTGATATTAATAAAATTAATTAATCACGTTATTAATACATTATCGATTATTTACATTTAATAAATAATTAAATTTTTATTACATTACTATTTAATACAATAGTAAAAAATATCAAATTAATATAAGCTATTTACAAATTCGTCAATTTTTCTTTATAAAAAATTTAGTTATACCTCTACATCAAAATCGCTATTAAAAATACTTTACACCTAACAAAATTTCCCAAATCTATAAATATAGGCAACGAAACACAACTTGCATTACAGTACAATCTCTAGTAGATAAACAAAAGTTTACAACTTCGATTCTGGTGATATAAAATGGGTAAATTTTAATGTTAACTAAATACAGTATATCAGACCTTGGCCACATGTTCAAGTTCTAGTTTTATATAAATAAAAATAGTTTATTCTATATTAAACATATTAATCATTATTTTTATCTATTTAAAAATATAAATAAAATTATTACTGTTTACAAATTATAGAATAAATTTATTATTTTGTGTACATACCAAAGCTTTCAAAATTATCAGTAATATCAAGCTTAACTTGAACCGAATCAGTTTGAGATAAATCTAAATAAAAAAATAAAAATAATAAATAAATAAATAAATAAACAATATATTTAAGTTTTAATGCAGATTAATTAAAAAAAATAATAAATAAATAAATAAAAATAAACAATATATTTAAGTTTTAATGCAGGTTAATTAAAAAAAAATAATAAATAAATAAATAAAAATAAACAATATATTTAAGTTTTAATGCAGGTTAATTAAAAAATCAATACCTTTAAGTGCATTTGAAATTAATTTTGTGCTAATAATTTTACTGGTATATATTTTATCTGGATGCTTTGATATCGGCAATGTTTTAATAACTTTATCAGCATCTAAGAATTGCCTTTTAATTTCATTATCGTCTGAACTATCTAATTTATCAAGCCAATAAACAATTTCAGAATAAGCATCATCAACACTAGGCCGTTTTTGTGGATTTGAGTCCATACATTGCTTCGCAAATTCAACATAGCAATTGGGAGTTTCAGGTGCAAATTTAGGACGCAATCCATTGCAAATCTTTACTGCAAGTTTTGTATCAAATTCGTATCCATCAAAAGGTCTTTGACAAGTTGAAATTTCTGCCATAATGACACCGAAACCATAAATATCGGCAGATTTTGTAAGCTTTTGACCCAATAAAACTTCTGGTGCCACATAAGGCATAACACCATAAATATCACCTTCTGAACTGTTTTCGTTAGAGTTTTTAGACAACCCTAGATCTGAGATGTAAGATTGCATACTTTCACTAATTCCTTTACTCTGTAAAATATTGCCACTGTGAAAGTCTGCATGAACATATCCTGCACCATGAATATACATTAAATCGTAAGAAATATCTTTAAGCAGTCTTAATTTAGTTTGCCAGGTAAGATCACAAAAATTGTTTTTTAAGAATTTGTGAAGACTTCCATTATCGGCATATTGAAATACCATAAAGTATTCATTTTCACTTTTTTGAGTCAATCCGTATATTTTAAGTTTACTACCATATAAGCTACATGATATATGATTCTCAAACTTTATAATTACAGAATTAAGTAAATAAATCAAAATGAAATAAATTAGTTTATTATTTAATAAATTATTGAATGAATAGATTTAACTTACTTCTTTTAAAGAATCAGACAAAGTCTTGAGTGCAACGATGCTGGATGCTTCACGCGATCTTTTATAGGAATAGTTGTCATCATCAATTTTAATTTCTTCAATTTTTCGCATACCATCCAACCAGGTTGCTGAATATACAAAGCCGAATCCTCCTTTGCCAATTTCTTTAACATTAGATAATCTATCAAATGGAATCCATTCAATTGCTTCTACATATGTCCAGGCTCTAAGTTGGAATTTTTTTATGCAATCATCAATATACTTATTTTTACTTGTCCACCTTGTTGTTTCAAAGTCAGGGTCGCATGATAAACACCATGCTTTACACGTGTTATCTTCATTACAATGAGCGCATTTCCCATTTTTAGAGGCACTTTATAATGACAATATATAATAAATAATATTTCATTTCATCTGTAAATTATATTTTAAACTTTATATCAAAATGTAAATAATGTTTACTTACCGACTAAATTAATGAGAATGAATGATTTGAAGGATATTACATAATAGTAATAGTAAATAAGTATTTAAATTCTTGATTTGTGAACTTGCTCGCTGTGTTCGCTGTTGTTAATTCCAATGATTAATAGGATGTCCTATAGAATAGGTGGGAACTCCGCAACCCCTCTATTAAAAATTAATGATTTCTAAATTAGCGAAGTTTATTGCCCACCTATTCTATAGCCCTGTAAGAAAAAGAGGCACGTAGTACAGTCCAAAATGGCACGGGAAAAACAACCATTACGTACCTTTACACCGTTCCTTCACTGCAATTTCCGTAGAAAAACGTGCCAAAAACCCGTGCCAATATCCGTGGATTTTGGTTTAGTAAACTGCTGCAAAATCCGGTCCATTTACTGTCCAAAATTTACGGGTAAACGTGCCAAAAATGGTACGGTGAAAAAAACAATCCCGTACCTCACGTGTCAATCACGGTGCACTATCCCGTGCCTTCCCGTTATTTTAGTGAACGTGCCAAAATACGTGCATTTTGGCTTAGTAAACTGCTGCAAAATCCGGTCCATTTGCGGTCCAAAATTCACGTGTAGACCGTAATGGCACGGGACATCACACGTGCCACTTTTCTTACAGGGTATAATATCCGATTAATAAATGTTATTTATACTCACGGGCTGAATGAATGATTAATGTGAATGAAATGATTTGAAGGGTATTACATAATAGTAATGGTAAATAAGTATTTATGTTCTTGATTTGTGAACTTGCTTTGCTGTTTTTAATTCCAATAATTAATAAATGTTCTTTATACTCACAAACTAAGTTAATGCGAATGAATGATTTGAAGGGATTACATAATTGTAATGGTAAATAAGTATTTATGTTCTTGATTTGTGAACTTGCTTTGCTGTTCAAATTCCAATGATTAATATTTTTTATACTTACTCGCCTAATAAATAATCTCTAATAATTATTGAAATTGGATGAATTATTAAAATTGTATAAATTATTCGCAATTTTTAAAAATAATAAAAATTAAAAATTAATTTACTGGTAAATCCATTCATAAAACTTATCCTCATCCTTTTCCACGCCAATTCCGAAGTGGTAACACCAAGCAGTTTTAAAAATTCCGTTGATATTACCAGCCTCAGCTGATCTCAAATAATGTTCAAATGCTTTTTTTTTATCACTTTCAACCCCAATTCCAAAATAATAACAATGTCCAACTTCGTAAATTCCTTTGGAATGATTCAGGTCTGCGGATTTTTGGTAGCAACGGAATGCTTCGTTTTCATTCTTTTCAACGCCAATTCCAAATTCGTAACAATAGCCAAGCAAATAAATTCCGTTTGGTTCGTTTGCATCTGCCAATTTTTTGCACTCATCGAAATTTAGTTGTTTAAAATCGTCGTTAATTTTTGG